TTTTTTCGGCTAGTAGTACGTCTCCCATTTGGTCGTTGCGTTGCATTTTATAGGCAATATTTATCAGTAGGAAACTTAAGAAATCAGATTCACTTGCGTTTTCGTTTTTTTTTTCTTTCGTTTTCTCACTTTGCTACACTTCACTTCACTTCGTCTGCGCTTCTTCTTTTTTCTTTTGCTACTGCTGCTTATTTGGTCGACTTCGTTTTCACCGAATTACCTATGTGTAGGCACTTCTAAAATGCTCGCTGGCCAGAACTCTAATTTTCATGTGTTGCACAAATTTGTAGTTTCACTTTTGGCGTTGAAATTCTTAGATTATTAGAATTTCTTAACTAGCTGCTGTTGCGTTATTTTCCATCGTTTCATGTTTGCTTTTCACACTTGCTACTTATGTCGTATTTTCTTTATTTTTTTTATATATATTTTGTGTGATTATGCTATGGAATTCACAGAACACTTCGTTTTTCGATGGGGTACTAGACTAGCACTGCGTCAAAGTGACAGCTCAGTGCCGTCGCCATTGCCGACACGATACTGCATAGTCGACATTATTTGCTTTATCATTCGTATTACGTCTTGTGCTCCAACCATAATGGCGCTGTCAGTGGGGAATCCGTTATGTGCTTCCGTTTAGCCATTGAACTGTGTGTGTGGTATGAAGTTGGCTGCAAGCGAAATGGTTGTGGTCTTGGCTAAGTTGGGAAGTAAAATGCAATGCTGTGGTTGTTTCATTTGATGACGCATACATACATATGTACGTATATACATATGTACATTTGTATATATGTATATAGTTTGTAGCATTACACGGTAGTATACAAGTAAAAAAAATAAATTAGTCGCTTAGGCGGTTACAACGCCAATAATGAAGAAGAAGAAGAAGAAATTAAATATTCAGAACAAGAGACTGGACATAAATATAAGTTGAGAAAAAATATTTTAAAACCAAAAGCCATAAAGAAAATTTTTTTTTTCGAAGAAACCACCGGAGTTCTCTTACATTGCAGAATATATGTATGAAATTTTCCAATGACCTAAAAATATTTATACTTTTATTATTTTGAATAGTAAATACGGATTACTTCTACCTCTTTATTTTTAAAGTAGCTTGCTATTTTTTAAGCAGAACATAGTTAATAATTTTTTCTTTAAATTTTCAGACATTGATTATAAAATGAAATATTTCAATGTCTTAGGGTGGTTTTCGGAACCTTTTCAGACTTATCCTTAATTAAATTATTTGTGTTATAATTTTCGGGGTCTTTGGAGACTTTTTAAGATCAGTATTTTGGAGTTTTTTTTGCCATTTTTCAAGCTTCATGGAATATTTTCGCGATTTTCGGGAACTTTCGGCATTACCGAGTGATATTTTTCCGAACCTTATGAGGGTTTTTGGGGATCTTTTTTTTGAGTTTTTCTCTGGATTTTTCTGCACTTCGTGGGAAGTTCTAGGGACTTTTCCAGTAACTTTCGGAATTTTTCAAGGCAAGTCTGGTTTTTGCCTTTGAGTTTTCTAGAATTTTCGCAGTATTTTGGTATTTATGTAGGAATTTTAAAGACCTAAAATTTAGTTAGATCATAAATTTGTTTTTGGTTTTTAGTTTTTAAAGCTTTTTAGGACTTTTCGAGTTATCGGACTTTGGTATAATATTTTCGCAACTTTAGAAATTTTTTCGGGAACTTTCGGAATCATACAGATTGTTTTGAGACATTTTTCGAAAACTTTTCGCACTTTTTCATATTTTTTTTT